TCCAGCCTGGGTGACAGAGTGAGACTCTGTCTTATAAACAACAACAAATTTCTTTTAAAAGAAAGAGAGAGTTGGCTGTACTTATGTACATAAGTCTATTTCTGAGCTCTCAATTCCATTCTGTTGACTTCTGTGTCTATCTCACTGGGGAGACCATACTTTCTTGATACCTGTATTTATATATTAAGTCTTAAAATTAGGTAGTGTGATTCCAGCAACTTTTTCAAAGTGGTTTTAACCATTCTACTTCTTTCCATATATATTTTAAAATAAACATCTATATTTAATACAAAAAATTATTGCTGGAATTTTTGTAGGAATTGCATTATGCCTATAGACCAATTTGGGTTTTTGTTGTTGTATGAGCTAGAGTTCTCTCTGTTGCCCAGGCTGGAGTGCAGTGGCATGATCTCAGCTCACTGCAACCTCTGCCTCCTGGGTTCCAGCTATTCTTCTGCCTCAGCCTCCTCAGTAGCTGGGATTACTACCAGGCCCCTGCCACCACACCCGGCTAATTCTGTATTTTTAGCAGACATGAGGTTTTACCATGTTGGCCAAGCTGATCTTGAACTCCTAACCTCAAGTGATCCACCCACATTGGCCTCCCAAAGTGCTGGGATTAAAGGTGTGAGCCACCTCACCCGGCCCCTATAGATTAATTTGAAGAGAACTGGTATCTTTACTGTATGTTGGACCTTCCAATTCAACCCCAATCTTGTGGTTAATGAAATAATCTGAAGTAAAGGAAAGAAACACAGGATTGAAATGGTGCTAGGAGCAAATTTCTCTGGAATCTGAACTCTCTTCAACCTTTGATCAAATGGGGTCAGACTCCATCCTAGGCAACTGAGAAGCACCTAGGAGACATAAATATGCCAACTCATCTGTGTAGGTTTACAGTTTACACGGTTACCTTGGGTTTCACAACTCAACTACAAGACAGGAATTAGCATCCCCTGCCCTTTTTTTTTTTTTTGACATGGAGTTTCCCTCTTGTTGCCCAGGCTGGAGTGCAATGGCTCGATCTCTGCTCACTGCAACCTCTGCCTCCCAGGTTCAAGTGATTCTCGTGCCTCAGCCTCCCCAGTAGCTGGGGTTACAGGCATGTACCACCATGCCTGGCTTATTTTTGTATTCGTAGAGATGGGGTTTCTCCATGTTGGTCAGGCTGGTCTCGAACTTCTGACATCAAGTGAACCGCCTCTTCCATCTTAGCCTCCCAGAGTGCTGGGATTATAGGTATGAACCACGGAGCCCAGCCTTTTTTTTTTTTTTTTTTTTTTTTGAGATGTAGTTTTACTCTTGTTGCCCAGGCTGCAGCGCAATGGTGCTATCTCAGCTCATTAGCTCATTGCAACCTCTGCCTACCAGGTTCAAGCAATTCTCCTGCCTCAGCTTCCCAAGTAGCTGAGATTACAGACATGCGCCGCCATGCCCAGGTAATTTTTTGTATTTAATAGAGACAGGGTTTAACCATGTTGGTCAGACCAGTCTGAAACTCCTGACCTCAGGGGGTCCACCCACCTCAGCTTCCCAGAGTGCTGGGATTACAGGCATGCACCACCACGCCTGGCCAGTATCCCCATTTTTTTTTTAAACCAGTGTTTTGATATCCTTTATTCACAAGTTAGTATATTTGTCTTTTTTTTTTTAGTCTCTGTGGAGACTGTCAAAAATTGCCAATGCCGACTATATTGCAAGTCATCATGGCAGGGTATTGGGAAAAGTTTTCAATTAGCCATAATCGTGCCTCAGATAAACCTCACTGGCTATGATACTGCCACTGTGCAAAGCTATACTTGCCCATTTGAATGTTATGTGTATGATAAAACAGATTATGAAAAGTATACTTACAATGAGAACATGTTGTTTTATATAACTGATCATTGAATATGCCACCTCTTGCAACAACAACCTAATGAACTCAACTCTACCCTCCAAATGGACAAATTTTATGATTCTCCTAAAAAGTTTTGAGTTGGGTACAGTTTCTTGTTGCTTCTTCCTGTGATCCAAGGCTTAAAATGAGGCTGGGCACAATGGCTCACGCCTGTCATCCCAGCCCTTTGGGAGGCCAAGGCAGGCAGATCACTTGAGATCAGGAGTTTGAGACCAGCCTGGCCAACATGGTGAAACCCTGTCTCTACTAAAAATATAAAAATTAGCCAGGTGTGGTGGGTATATGCCTGTAGTCCCAGCTACTTGGTAGGATGAGGCAGGAGAATCGCTTTAATCTGAGAAGGGGAGGTTGCAGTGAGCTGAGATCGCACCTCTGCACTCCAGCCTGGGTGATGGAGTGAGACTCTGTCGCAAAAAAAAAAAAAAGAAAAGAATGAATCTCTGGGGCCGGGTGCAGTGGCTCATGCCTGTAATCCCAGCACTTTGGGAGGCCAAGGCGGGTGGATCACGAGGTCAAGAGATCGAGACCATCCTTGTCAACATGGTGAAACCCCATCTCTACTAAAAATACAAAAACATTAGCTGGGCACGGTGGCACGTGCCTGTAATCCCAGCTACTCAGGAGGCTGAGGCAGAAGAATTGCCTGAACCCAGGAGGTGGAGGTTGCAGTGAGCCGAGATCGCGCCATTGCACTCCAGCCTGGGTAACAAGAGCGAAACTCCGTCTCGGAAAAAAAAAAAAAAAAAAAAAAAAGAATGAATCTCTGGAAACCAGCAATTAGAGCCAGACCTCCCCAGGATCAAGGAGACAGGAATCAGGGGAAAGGACACTACAGATGATGCCCCCAGTCTCAAGCACTGGGCCATATGCTTGACTTGAGAGCATTCCAGCACCCAAGGTCAAGTGTGGAGCCATCTATATATCCTGTCATTGCAAATGCCCACGACTGCTATCATTAACAGGGTACGGGAGAAAGGAGGCACATCATGTGTGGAGGAATGAATCAGTCTCAACAATTATATGAGTATTTCGAAAATTTCAATACCAAGGATTAACTTCTAAAACACAACTTATTACATGCTGGTGCATGCCTACAGTCCTAGCTATTCAGGAGGCTGGGGTGGGAGGATCACTTGAGCCCAGGAGGTTGAGGCTGCAGTGGGCTGTGATCACACCACTGCATTCCAGACTGGGCAACAGACTGAGACTCTGCTTCAAAAAAAAAAAAAAAAAAAAAAAACAACGACAAGTTTAGGCTGAGCACAGTGGCTCGCACCTGTAATCCCAGCACTTTGGGAGGCCAAGGTGAGAGGATTGCTTGAGCCCAGGAGTTTGTAACCAGCCTGGGCCACAAAGTGAGACTCCATCTCTACCCAAAAATATAAAAAATAAAATAAAATAAAATTAGCTGTGCATTATAGCACACACCTATGGTCTCAACTACACAGGAAGCTGACACAGGATGATGGCTTGAGCTCAGGATTTCAAGGCTGCAGTGAGCCGTGTTCGCGCCACTGCACTCCAGCCTGGGTGACAGAGTAAGACCCTGTCTCAAAAAAATGAAATAAACTGGCCAGGCGCAGTAGTGAGTAGCCTGTAATCCCAGCTACTCAGGAGACTGAGGCACAAGGATCGCTTGAACCTAGTAGGCAGAGGTTGCAGTGAGTTGTGATCATACCACTGCAATCCAGCCTGGGCAACAGATGGACAGACTGAGACCCTGTCTTAAAAAAAAAGTTTAGGCTGAGCACTGTGGTTTACACCTGTAATCTCAGCACTTTGGGAGGCTAAGGTGGGAGGAGCGCTCGAACCCAGGAGTTCTAAACGAGACTGAGCCACAAAGCGAGACTCCTCTACAAAAAAAATTTTTTTAAATCAGCCACGCATTGTGGCGCACACCTGTGGTCCCAGCTACACAGGAAGCTGACACAGGATGATCTCTTGATCCCAGGAGTTCAGGGCTTCGGTGAGCCGCATTCACGCCACTGCACTCCAGGCTGGGCAACAGAGTAAGACCGTGTCTCAAAAAAATGAAATAAATTGGCCTAGTGCAGTAGCATGCACCTGTAATCCCAGCTACTCAGGAGGCTGAGGCACAAGAATCGCTTGAACCTAGTAGGCAGAGGTTGCAGTGAGCAGAGATCATGCCACCGCAGTCCAGCCTGGGCGATCGAGTGAGACCCTGTCTCAAAAATAAATAAATTCTCAAGTTTATAGTCAGAGGCTATACAACTAGCTATTCAATAAAATGCATATGCAATACGGTGGAGGAGCTTGTGACCATCCCTATTTGAATGCTGGGGAAACAAACAGGGTCATTCAAGGTCCCCAGTGCAGCAGCATCTACTCATTTCAGAAGGGAACTCTGCCGAAACTGTGCCAGTCTGGGCAGAGCCCCCTCTCCACTGGTCTGGAGAGCCACGAATCCGGCGCGCGTCCTCCCCACCTTGCTCGCCAGGGGGCGCCAAACCTCTGCTCCCCGGTCGTGGGCTGCAGAGCTAGTGGGTGGTGGCTGAGGGGCATGGGAGCGTCAGCGTTCTTTGGCGACCCGTGAAGCCTGGGCTTAGAGCTCACAGCGTGGGTCACCAGCAGAGACAGAGGAGGCGAACAGCTTCCCGTGAACTGCAGGGGAGTCCTGGGACGCTGTCCTCAAGCGAGGTGGAAACCGGCCATGTCCCTCAGTTCCCCCTCCGGTCCTCGGGCCACGGGGACCTCAGACTGGGGGTTAGCTCTGCCAGCCCTGCCCAGGCCTCTTCTGACCAGAAGAGCTGCGACGGACGCTGAGTCCAAGCTGGGGTTCAGGCCCCTTGGCGACTGCGGCCTCCTGAGCTTGACCCCCTCCCTGCTCCCATGGGGAAGTCCCTCGCCCCTAGAACAGTCTCCCCTCCCAGTGTCTCCCCTTCGGGACCCCTCCGCGGGCCGGGGACTTCGCCAGGCCTAGGGAGACCGACCCTACCCCTTTTAGGTCCTCCCCTGCTCCGACCTGGTCCCCGCCCTCGGCCGCCCGCCAGTCCCCGAGGCGTACACGTGGTAGATCCCGTCACGCCCGGAAGTCTCGCGTTACTCAAACGCCTCGCGCAGTCGCACTTGCGCTCAGGGAAGGAGGGGGGGCGAACGGAAGCCGGGAAGGCGATTCGTGGTTCGCGGGGTACGGGCGCGCGTGCGCATTCCTCAGCCCGTTCAGGACCCCGGCGCCGCAGGGCGCCCACGAGCCAACGAACGGGTGGCGCCCTCTTTCCTTCTCTTCCCTTCCCCGGACCTGGAGTCGCGGTTACTTGGGCTGGCAGGCGAACCCTTGAGTGACGTGGCGTGGAGCGGGCCTGGTGCGCCTGGAGGGCCTTGTGGAGCGGAGAGTAGGCACGGGAGGGGCGCGAGGTTGGGGGCGACGCGAAGAATGAATTGGAACGCGGGGCGGGGAGACGCGGGAGCTGGGGGTGAGTGGGAGGGGACGAGGGGCCGGAAGGAAACATGTAAGTCCTCTCTCCGGTACGCCCTTTGGGCTTTTTGTTTTTTGTTTTTGTTTTTGAAACGGCGTGTTGCTCTGTCTCCGAGGCTAGATAAGAGTGCAGTGGCGCGATCACGGCTCACTGCAGTCTCGAACTCGCGGGCTCAAGCGATCCTCCGCCTTAGCCTCCCAACTAGCTGGGATTGCAGGCGGGCACCACCAGGCCCGCCTAGTTTTTAAAAAGTATCTTAAGACAGGGGCTCGCTAGGTTGCCCAGGCTGGTCTCAAACACCCGGGCTCCAGCGATCCTTCCGCCTCGGCCTCCCAAAGTGCTGAGGTTACAGGCTTGAGCCACTCCCCGGCTGGGTGTACCCTTTGTACAGGAAAAGGGTAGGAAAGGCTTCGAGGTCACTGTGATCCCTCTGATCGCATCCCTTTCCCACGCCAGGGCTTACAGCATGGCAGAAAACCGAGAGCTCCGCGGTACCGTGGAGGCTGAACTGGATCCGGTGGAGTACACCCTTAGGAAGAGGCTTCCCAACCGCTTGCCCCGGCGGCCCAATGACATTTATGTCAACATGAAGACTGACTTTAAGGCGCAACTGGCCCGCTGCCAGAAGCTGCTGGACGGAGGGGCCCGGGGTCAGAATGCGTGCTCTGAGATCTACATTCACGGCTTGGGCTTGGCCATCAACCGAGCCATCAACATCGCGCTGCAGCTGCAGGCGGGCAGCTTTGGGTCCTTGCAGGTGGCTGCCAATACCTCCACCGTGGAGCTTGCTGATGAGCTGGAGCCGGAGACGGATGCACGGGAGCCGCTGACTCGGATCCGAAACAACTCAGCCATCCACATCCGAGTCTTCAGAGTCACACCCAAGTAATTGAAACGGCACTCCCCCACTTAACACCTCCACGGTGTGGCTCTTCTCATACTGGACCTTGAACCAGAGCCATGGAAGAAAAGGCCTGTTCCCTTGAAACCCCAAGGACTCCGTATTGAGGTTGGGGATAATTGTCCCAGTGGGCCCAGTTAGTGGGTCTTCCTGAGAGAGTGTGTGTCTGTGGTAACTATTATCATGTAAATAAAAAATACTGTTGTACTAGTGTCCTGCCACCCCACTGCCACTGACTCTTCCCTGTGTAAATTCTGTATGTGCTTGAATAAGGAGGGTAGGAGACGCCACAAGTATCTAGGTGAAAGGGAACCCTAGTGTTCCTTGCCTCTGTCGAGACCTTAGATTATCTTGTGAACAGTGTAACAAAACAGTTAGTACGATGCAGAAGCCTGGTTATCCCAATGTTCGCTTTAGAGATTCTCATTTTCTAGTTGGGTGCGATGGCTGCAGCCTGTAGTCCCAGCTATTGGTGGAGGCTGAGGTGGAAGATCGCTTGAGCCCAGGGGTTTGAAAGTGCTCTCCAGTCTAAGTGATAACGCTGAGACCCTGTCTGTGCAAAAAAAAAAAAAAAAACATTTTTCTGAGATGGACTCTCCCTGTCACCCAGGCTGGAGTGCAGTGGTGCAATCTTGGCTCACTTCGATGTCTGTCTCCTGGGTTCAAGCGATTCTCCTGCCTCATCCTCCCCAGTAGCTGGGATTACAGGCGAGTGCCAACCACGCTAATTATTTTTGTGTTTTTAGTAGAGACCAGTTTCACCATGCTGGCTAGGTTGTTCTCGAACTCCTGACCCCAAGTGATCTGCCCTCCTCAACCTCCCAAGTGCAAAAAAATCTAGATGGGTGTAGTTGCTTGCACCTATAATCCCAGCTACCTCATTAGCTAAGGCAGGAGCCACAGAGTTCCAGGCTGCAGTTAGCTGTGATCACTGCAATACACTCCAGCCTGGGTGACAGAGCAAGATCATATCTCAAAAAATAAAAATAAAAAAAAGGGAAGCAAACCAAGACTTCAGGACCTTTTTAGTGTCAGGCTCTGTGGTAAAGACTGACAAGTGGCTTCATTTAATTCCTGGACCTGCAGGGCCTGCCTAATGACACCCCAGCTTTCAGGTACAGGGCTCTTCAGACCCTTTTTTTTTTTTTTTTTGAGAGTTTTACTTTGTCATCTTCATCCAGGCTAGAGGGGAGTGGTGCGATCTCAGCTACCTACAACCTCCACCACCTGGGTGAAGGGGTTCTGCCTCAGCCTCCCGAGTAGCTGGGACTGAGTCTCACACTGTTGCCCCGGCTGGAATGTAATGGTGTAATCTCAGCTCACTGCAACCTCCACCTCCCAGGTTCAAGAGATTCTCCTGCCTCAGCCTCTCGAGTAGCAGGGATTGCAGGTGCCTGCCACCACACCCGGATGATTTTTTTGTATTTTTAGTAGAGATGGGGTTTCACTATGTTGGCCAGACTGGTCTCGAACTCCTAACCTCGTGATTCACCTGCCTAGGACTCCTAAAGTGTTGGGATAACAAGTGTGAGCCACCACGTCCAGCCTGTTTTTTGTATTTTTAGTAGAGAAGGGGTTTCACTATGTCAGCCAGGCTGGGCTCAAACTTCTGACCCCAGGCATTCTGCCCTCCTCGGCCACCCACAGTGCTGGGATTACAGGTGTGAGCCGTAATCCCAGCACTGTGCCTGGCCTTCAGACCCTTCTGACTGGGCTGCTCCAGTGGCAAAGGGACTCCCCAAATAATTACTGGGCACACAGGTAATAATACTTTCTGGGTATTTGTGGGGTGACCTGATTTTTCATATTTATCAAACTAGAGTCAACTAAAGCAATGTTTATCAAAGCCGGTCGTGACCCATTTGTAGGCCTTTAGATCAATGTACTGGATCACAACTTCTTTAACAAAAAAAACAAGGCTGTGTGCAGTGGCTCACGCCTATAATCCCAGCACTTCGGAAGGCTGAGACAGGCTCATCTCTTGAGCCCAGGAGTTTGAGACCAGCCTAGGCAACATGGTGAAACCCCATCTCTACAAAAAATACTAAGAATTATCCAGGCATGGTGGCACAATCCTGTAGTCCCAGCTACTTGGGAAGCTGAGATGGGAAGATCACCTGAACCCAGGAGGCAGAGGTTGCAGTGAGCTGAGATCACACCACTGCACTCCAACCTGGACGACAGAGCAAGACCCTGTCAAAAAAACAGGAAAGAAAAAGGGAAAAAAAAACAAACCTGAGTCTTTTTTTTTTTTTTAAGTGCAACTTAAATGGTGCTTTATTGCAGTTTTTTTTTTGTTTTTTTTGAGGTGGAGTCTCTCTGTCACTAGGCTAGAATTGAGTAGGGCATTCTTGGCTCACTGCAACCTCCACCTCCCAGGTTCAAGCAGTTCTGCCTCAGCCTCCTGAGTAGCTGGTATTACAGGTGTGTGCCACCATGCCCAGCTAATTTTTGTATTTTAGTAGAGATGGGTTTTTGTCATTGTTGTCCAGGTTGGTCTCAGGCTCCTGACTTCAGATGATCAACCTGCCTCAGATTCCCAAAATGCTGGGATTACGAGCATGAGCCACCAGGCCTGGCCAGCAAATTTTTCAGTTAGATATGTGTATGTACACACGTGTATGTACATATGTGTACTGTTGTACTGGCCTGAGCATAGAAAGTTGACCAAGACAAAAGTATGTCAAATTCCAGGGTCTTTATTGCCGGCGGCCACAGAGGACTCGAGTCTCTCCAACCCGTGGCCCCGAAAGGAGGGTGTCAAGACCTTTTGTACCCGTAAAACCACCTCAGGAGTGAGGGTGGGGGCAGGGGTGGGGGTGAGGGGCTTCAGATGTTCTGAGGGCTAGTGGATTCTGTAAATCACCTCCTGGGCGGAGATGAGGGTGAGGGGCTCCAGACACTCCGAGGGCCAGGGGACTTTTGACATTCTGATTGTTACTTAAGTGGTTGACAAAAGTCAAGATTAGCATTTGTGCCAGGCGCGATGGCTCAAGCCTGTAATCCCAGCACTTTGGGAGGCCGAGGCGGGTGGATCACGAGGTCGAGAGATCGAGACCATCCTGGTCAACATGGTGAAACCCCGTCTCTACTAAAAGTGCAAAAAATTAGCTGGGCATGGTGGCACGTGCCTGTAATCCCAGCTACTCAGGAGGCTGAGGCAGGAGAACTGCCTGAGCCCAGGAGGCGGAGGTTGCGGTGAGCTGAGATCACGCCACTGCACTCCAGCCTGGGTAACAAGGGCGAAACTCCGTCTCAAAAAAAAAAAAAAAAAAAAAAAAGATTAGCATTTGTTTACACATTGTCTGGGTAGGGTGGAAATTACAATCCTTAATTACTTATTACAAGTCGCAGGGGCCAAGGTGGCCTGGGTTTGGACGGCTTGCCTGTCACGTTTGGGTTACAGAGAGCAGTTTCAGTAGAAAGCTGAGGTATGGCTGAGGTGTGCAGGTTTACGGGGCTTTTACCATGTCACACACTATGATAGGATATAAACTGTTTTTACTGCTTGAGGTCTGTGCCATGTGGTTTGTTCTGGTAGTTCCTCTGATTGATGGGTTAAGAGCCTCTGATTTATGGGTTAGGAACAGAATTTCACTCTAATTCAAGTGAAGATGGTTTGGTTTGGAGGTCCAAAGATCAGGCTTCTAATTCACCAAAATCCGCGTCTCTGGCATCCACATATGAAATGGTCCCTACTTTGAAGGAGATCGCCATCTAATTGGGATGGTGGACACATCATTTTTTGTGAATGAGTAAGAT